AAATAAGTGTATATATATGGTTAACTTAATAGCTTTAAAAATGAAAATCTACTTATAAATAAATTCTTCATTTAATTATTTAATGTATATCTAACTAGAAATTAAATGTATTTTTTTCATTATGTATATTTAATTATTAAATCTTCCATTACATATACAAAAACAAACTTAATAAGTTAAGTTCTAATTATATTATATGGTAAATACTAAAAATTATATAATTAAAAAAATTAGACCAAAACGGTTTGAATTGTGGGACTATTGAGAACCAAAAGAGAAAAGAAAAAAAAAGGGGGAGGCAACTATATTTTTGAGTCTCATTCCTTATAAGGCCAAATCCTCACATATTCTGCGCAACAACGAACCGAGAACATACGCGAGAGACAGACTTAGACTCATCGATAAACCAAGAACATACGAGAGAGAGGGAGACGATTGGGGTCTGGGAGTCGATGCTGATCGCTGAAGGCTTGCTGAAGGGATCTGAGTCTCTGACTCAGCTGCGATGCTAGGGATTTTGTGATGATGAAGAAGAAGAAAGAGGGGGCTTCTGCGATGATGCTATGGCTTTTTGTGTCTTCGATTTAACAGATATGTCTTGCAATTATTTCAATTTTTCTTCTATTTCTGAAGTTGCAAAAGGGGGTAAATTTGCTTGTGATTTTTTTTGACTTAGGGTTTGAAAAAAGCCCATTTGAGTCTCAGATCTTCTTCTTCATTTCCTTTTTCCTTTACCATTTTGACTTTGGAGATTTTGCTGAAGTTTCCTACCAATATCGGTCCGAGTCCGATGTAACTCGCCCGATTCAAACGATACGAGTCCGAGTCGAGCCGATACCATTGAGTTATAACCGATTCATTGCTGAGTCATGAATGACTCGTGATATTTATGTATCATGTATCGATATCGGATCGGTCATGGCCGAGACAGATACGACTCGGCCGAGTCGTATCGGTCTCGGCCGATACTTTAAACCCTGCATTGGGAGTTTGGCTTGCTTCGATTCTACAGCATATTGGGTGCCTAGAGCCATTGTACAATGCCCGGTAGGTTTCACTTGGCTTAAATCAGATTTATCACAGATTTTGGCAAAATTTGAGGCTCAACAATCTATTTTGGTAGTTGGCCACTGGTTTTGGCTATGAGCTCTCATGATTCCTCGTTTTTGGGCACGCTGATGGATTGTATGTACTGAGAAGCTTGATTTCATCTGCTTGAGGCAACTTTGGGTATATTTTTACTTCTAGACTGCTGTTCCCTTCGAGGATTTGCATCTTTTGCTCTATTCCAATTGTGAGAACGTCACTGGGTGGTTTGAATTCTTCAAATTTTGAGGAAGTGGGTAATGCCGTTTGAAGCCTCCAAGAAACAATCCATCTTTGAGAAAAATTGGATGGAAAAAATTGTTTGGCATAGTCAGGACTGACTTCTTAGAGAAAATAAGATTCGCATCGATTCAAAAGCAGCGGATATCTGAAAGTGCCCTCATTAGTTTTGGTTGCTTAATTCAATGCAAATCTACTATCAACTGCAACATCGACTCCATGAATGGACGTTGAATGGCATAGGAGCGAGGTTCAATCAAGATCGAGAAGACAAGCTTACCTCAATGGCAAAAAACTCACTCCCATGGGTGAGACTTCCTAAAATGCTGGATTCAGAAAGTTTCAGAATTCCTGATGCCAGACATGAAGCTAAGTGTCAAGGGGTAACTCTCATTTTTGCAACTTTTTCCCCGAAGGAATGAGACTACCCGTGAAGGCGTTGTCCCAGCAACCAGCCACTCAAACTTGTAAAAGGGGCACACACAAAGGCAACACACAAAATACTAGGAAAACAATCCCCAACATTATATTATTGCTCACACAATACAAGGAATTTAGAAATTCAGTCAAGGACCCTCTCCCTACAAATTGCCCGGACATCCCGTATTTATACAAGGAGTATTGCAATTGACACCTCCAACTGACTAGGGTGTACTGGCCCACTAACCAATTAGTTGTATGGGCATGACAATTTCCAGTAACAACTTTCATGTCAGGCTGTATCTCTACTTGATAAGTGACTGGCAGTTCCTCTAATTCATCACCTGACTTGGTAACCACCCTCAACTGCTCACCCCTGAGGTCATGCTTGGTAACCTTCCTCAACTACCTCCCATGATTAGGTCATGTTTGGTAACCACTCTCAACCGCCTACTTTCATGCATTGAGCAGACTTGTCCCACCAAATCAGCAGCCAAGTCTCGCCCACGAACCAATCAAGCATGTTGGATCAAGCCCAAACTATGCCTTTCAAATTCATGCATCAACATTGCCTTAATCGAGCCCACTACATGCTACAATCCTTAGACATGTGGTCTTTTGTAGCTATGGGTCCCCACATATTTTCTGGTCCTACAATTTATCTCGTTACTAAGGACCTTACTGCATACCTTACCTAACGATGCCAAAGCTTGGGGCACAAGGCTTATCGAGCCCTTGGTACCACTCAACAATCACCACCACCCTATATATGCTCTTAGAAGTAGCGTAATCAAAACTGGACCGAACTGGTCGGTCAGACCGGTTTAACCGTGAACCAGAGCATAGACTAGTCCAATTTATTAATTGAACCGGTGATAAACCACTAAACTAGCCAGTTTTGAATAAAACTAGTGAACCAAACAAAACGGTATAAACCAGCGGTTCGACTTTCAATTGGAAAAAAAAATTTAAAATTCATTTTTTGGACAATTTTGTCCTAACCCAATCGTCTTCTCCACTATGCATAGCTTCGCCAAGTCTTCTCCCCTCTCTCTCTCCACTGTGCACCTTCACTGTCTCAAAAAATCCAAGTCTTCTCCACTGCGGCCTAATCTCCTCCGACTCTGGTGTGGTAAGTTTTCTTCTCCCTTTTGCCATCTCTCTCTCTCTCTCACACACACACAAATTAAGGAGGCTTGAAGGATTGGTTTTGTGTGATTGACGGTTACCCACTGTTGTCTTATGTCTCGGTCACTATAGGTTGGCTTTGACGGTGTGGTGAGTGTTGGGTAAAAAGACCAATTGCAAGGACTATCAAATTAATTACAATCTGAGCATTTTAATTTTATTGTAAACTTAATCAATTTCTTTTCTCGACTTAATTTTATGTATGATAGATTGTATGTATTGTGAACATATTTTATATTTTTTTAACAAAATTATTATGTTTTATAATTTATTCTATTTTTTATTATATGACAAGTCCAACCAATTGACCTAGTGGTTGAACTAGTGAACCATTGACCCGATCTCTCTACCGATTTAACGTCCAGTTCAATTTTGATAACTATGCTTAGAAGATTTTCCAAAGCAACATGAGAAGACATCTTATAAACCGAGTAAACATAATGACGAGAGTCTAGGGCATAGTGCTTGAAACTTTTGTCGAACACCTTAGCTATATCACCCTACTTCAAAGTCAGGGAGTGCCTTGGTGCAAGGTACCACCAAGACACATCCATTTCCGCCTAAGTTGATTCGGGTCTGGCACCAATGTTTATGACCATTGGAAAAAAGTTTATGTAACAAACCAAAAGGATAAGACTCTTGTTATCTATCATGCAAAGTTGATCACTTTGTAGCAAGAACTTGACTAATCTTAGAGTTTTCATGTAGATTGTACTAGTGATGAAGCTGATGCTAGAAAGGAACAAGTTCATAACTTCCTTGCTTATCGCAATGTGGAGAATGATCAGATTTAGGCTTAGATTTTTATTAACTACCCATTTTCCAATTTGTAAGAGACTTCAGCATGAGGAGAGCAAGAGAAATTCTATGGTTTTATGTCCTCCTACAAGAGCAATTTGCTTCATCTACTATTCCTCAACATGGTAAACAAATAGCCTTTAAAGTATTTTGGACTACTACGGGGGGGTTGGGGGGTGTTTAACCTTCTTTCTTTAAACTCCATCGCAAAAAGATTTTCCTATCTAGGGCTTGGAGGCTTACCCTTGTGCAATTGGTTTTGGCAAGTATTTCAACTTATTTGTTTGTGTCTATTTAGATTCTAAGTAGGGTAGCTAAAATGATCAAGAAGATAATGAGGGATTTCTTGTGAAAAATAAGTGACTACGAAGGGCAATTATTTAATTAGTTGGGATGTAGTATCGATTTAATCAATGGGGGGCTCATTGAAGGGAACTTAGCTGAGAGAAACAATGCGTTTGTTGGTGAAACATGTATGGAGTTTCCAAAGGAGCAGAATTGTTTGTAGTACAGTCCAATGCATGGAGCTCTAATGTCATGGATTGGAGCTCTTTTTGATATCCTTGGAAATTTTTCTTCCGGATTAAGCTATTTAAATCAATGTTACTTGGATTATGGGTCGATTTGGTACATGATATAGATACAAGACAACGTACACAACATGATACTTTTTTTGATATGCAATGCGATCATGATATACTTGGTTGGTAAGCTATTTTGGGTCATGGTTAATTTTGTAACTGGATAATCATAATATACTTAGTAGGTAAGCTATTTTGGGTCATGGTTAGTATTGTAATTCTTATCGAGATTGCTTCCATTATTATATGAAATTCGATATAATCATACATGAATTTATAAATAGTTAACTATTATTATATATTCTTTATAAAAGTTTCAAAGCAAATCATAATCCAAGACGACATATGGACTAAGAGTTATAAATTATAAAAGCTAGCTGTTCAATATTGTGTTAATCGGAAAAAAAAAAATTAATTCAAAATATAATTTTAAGATCATCAAAATAAATTAATAACTAGATAGGACTACGATATGGGGCTAGGGTTATAATTCAAGATTACTTGAATTGTGTCTTGACTGGGTTTGAGTCACAATTTGGGGGGTCAAACCCACCCATTCGCATCGTACAACCCCGCTCTTAGGACGATTGTAGTATGTAGAATGTTAGGTTATTTTAATTAAGGTTATTATAGTAATTTAAACTCTCTTTTATGAGTTAATATAAATATGGGCGATGAGAATAGAGGCATGTTAACTCTAGTTCTCCTTAACCCTAGAATCTGATCTCTTGCTTCTCTCTTCCCCTCTCTTGCCTATTCTCCGCTCTAAACCGTAAATCTAAGATCTTGAGATTTCAACTTGGTATTAGAGTGATCAACAATTTGAAATAGCTAGAACATTCAGGAAAGCCTTAGAAGTGTTTTGTGGTCGCTAACCATGGTTCAAAGTCGAGGTATCGGTCATCGACTCGGAGGGCACTAAGACACATCGGTCGCGGTGTCACAGCGTCGTATCGGCCGATACGCTCAAAACGCTACATAGAAGACCCAAAAAAATATAAAAAAATCATGAAAAATTTTAAAAATATGTAAATATCATCATTCATGCATTATATCCCAAAAATACATTATTTAACATATTAAACATAATAAAAACGAATTATAAGGACGCTACCGAAAATATTTGTCATCATTTAGGTTGAATGTTTTTATTTAAAAACACACTAAACTTTAAATATATGTTATTATAATTTTTTTAACTGACTAGTATCTAATTTTTTAAAAAATAAAAATAAAAATAAAAACAGCAAATATGTATCCATAAATTATAAATTTGACAAGTATGAGTAGATCTCAATATTTTACATGAATAATTTTGTGTTCAATTAATAAATTAATGAGTCATTGTTCTAATTTAATTTTATTTTTTCTCCTAATTATTTTTTTCAATAATTTACTAATTGAATTAGAGATTTTTGATATATAAGGGGTAAGGGTCAATAAAATATAAACACATGTCTAAGGACAAAAAGCAAATGAAGGGTGAGTGGCCCATAAAGTATAAACACTGTGTGTGGTCTGTGTTGTCTTCTCCTTGCCTCTCGATCACGAGAGAGAGAGAGAGAGAGAGACAGACAGAGAGCGCTAGCGACAAGCGAAGGAAAGTTTCTGCTATGGGTCTCCACCGAAAGAAGCGAACAGTAAGGAACGATTGAAGATTTTTTGATTTGTTAACTTAGGGTTCTGCTATGGGTCTCCCAGTGTTATTTAAGGCGTAAAGCGAACCGAAGCGACCAAGGCTCCTAACGCCTAGGCGAGAAGCAAGAAGCAAAGCGACACACTTTATCAAAACAAAGCGAACAGTTAAAAAAAATATATATTTTAGTTTAATTACTTCTAAACAATCTAAGTTCTAATTTTATATATACTAAATATTTAAATGCAAGTAAAACCATAAACATTTAAATTAAAAAAAATACTAATAATATCTCAAATCTTAATAACAGTCATAACTTAAACATTTAAATTCAAACAAATACTAACAATTGTATACATTTTCATATTGACAGGGTAGGACAACAAAAGAAGCAGAATCAGGACAGCAGCAGAATCAGCAACAACAAAAAAAGAAGCAGAATAAGGATAAAAAAAAACAGAAGCAGCACAGGACAACAAAACCGAAGCAGCAACAAAATCAATAAAAAAAAATAGAAGCAGAATGAGCTAAAAAAAAACAGAAGCACAATGATCATGACAGGAGCAGAATCAATTGTAAACAATTTCATATGTAATTATTTACTGAATAAAAAAAGCAGAACAGAGGCACATTTCACATGTACTAAAATAATTAAACATGGTATAAGTATAGACCACTTTTTGATATCATTTGTATATATATAAGAAAAGAAAAAAGTATAATCAAGACATATCAGAGACACTTCTTTGTAGAAGACTCTATTATTTACCCCCATTCCTGATACTCATGCTTCCTTTCTTTATCATAATTTTGTCATGCAGTCGCCTGACTCCCATATCCCACAAATATTCTAAATGAATTCAGCAACACAAGGAAAAAAAAAGGAATGTGTTTTGTTCGAAACATTGTTTATTAGAAAAAAAAAATAGATCAGAGAGAGTCTTAAAAAAAAGTCATTAGTGATTAAAAAATAAAAGAGACTACTAACCTGTAATCAGGAAAAAAAAAAAAAAAAAAAGGGGAAGCAGCATCGCCTCTTATAATAAAGCGTTCGCTTTTTCACTTTTTCACTTTTTTCGCTTGTTCGCTTTTTCGCTTTTTCGCTTTTCCTTGCTTTTTTTTCGCTTCGCCTAGGGTCCTCCAGGCGAGATAAGCTTGCCTCGCCTCGCTTCTCTCCTAGGCGAGCTTTTCAAAACACTGGAGTCTCCACCGAAAGAAGAAGAAAAAGAAGAAGAAGAGGCCTTCTGATCACGGTGATTCTTCGATTTTCTGGGTCTTTTTATACTTCATCTCTTCTTTTTTTTTTTTTTTTTGGAATTTCCTCAATATTTGTGATCTATTATATGCAAATCAGCCAAGTTGTGCTGAGTTGGAGTCGGCTCACTGTGAGTCTCACCCAATTTCTTCTTCCTTGCTTTGTTTTTTTTTTGGGGTTTTGCTACCCAGATTTTCCAAATGCACCATAGCAATCTGACTCGGTTCGACTCGACCAAGTCTAACCGATTTAGTTTCGAATTGGGCCAATACCACCGAGTTGTAACTGAGTCAGTATTGATTCAGTTGAATCTCGTTATATTAATGTACCGTGTATCGTTATCGGATCGGCAACTGCCGAGACGGATACGACTCGGCCGAGTTGACTCTGACTCGGACTCGGCCGATACTTTGAACCATGTCGCTAACATCATCATCAGAATGAAGACATCATCGCTAGAATTTATCGAACTCAACATGATCTGTCTCATTTTTTCCTCTCAAGTATTATGGTGATTTTTCTAGAATTTTCTGAAGCTATCTGGTATTTTTTTTTTTCTATTTTTGAATATTTTCGGAATTTAGGGATCAAATTTCGAGTTCTGCTGTTTGGCTGAGATTGCAGCCATTTGAATTGTTGTAGCACAGCCTAGGGGTTGCGTCTAGGCCTTAGGAGAAGTCTGGTGGAGTTCTGTAAAATACCCATCAGTTTTCTATGGATTTTGTGGGCTGGAGATGTTTCGGCTACAACTTTTCTGGTCCCAGGACGTGCAACATCCTCTATTTGCTGCAGCAGGTTCCTGTTTTTTATATACTAAAGGCTGTTAGATACTGCAGGGTGCTGTATTTAGGCTGAAGTTGTTCGGCAGTCTGGTTTTTTTGGCATTACAGGTCGCTTTTTTTTTTTTCTGGGCTGTGAAGGATCTGGGAAGCTGCAACAGTCTGGTTTTGGGCTCCTTTTGGGTTGGGTCAGTCCTAAAAGTGTTATTTGGTAGTTTTTGTGGGAAAAAAAGCTTTTTTTTTAATGAATAGATATGTCGGGAGTCACTATAGAATCTACCCATAC